TATAATTAGGGAGTTATCTCTCCTATCTATAGTATCCACATAGACTATTGATTTTTTTAACTAATAAATCATATATATAAGATTAAAAACATCAAACGCTAAGTGAAATGATATATAAAAATGAAAATTAATAAATACAAGACTATACAAGATTTTGTTATGCATGCGTCTTCAATTGACTAAATCAATCATTTATGGTCACCTCAACTTCTGGTTTACGGTATTCATTTTTCCAAAATACTGCCTTGCTAGGTTGGAATCTCTCATTAGCTCCTTCTTATGGCACGGGAAGCCGGGAACTTCTCATGGTGCAAAAGTGTCATGGGAAGCGATCTGCGAGCCATTTAAGCATGGTGGCCTTGGTCTGAGGAAGCTAGCTACTTGGAATAAAGCATGTGGACTAAAGCTTATCTGGTTACTCTTCACCAAAAGCGGCTCGCTTTGGGTCAACTAGGTCAGGCAGAATTTAATCACTACAAAGATCTTTTGGACTATGAGTGACTCACGTGGATCATGGTTCTGGAAAAAACTTCTCAAATTGTGGTCAAAATCGGCAATCTTTCTTAAATCCTCCATTGGAAATGGAAATCGTACTTTGTTTTGGCATGATAATTGGTCTTATCTAGGTCCTCTAATAAAATTCACAGCCCCTCGGGTTCTCTTCTCCTAGGTGTCTCTACTGATTCGAGGGTGGCGTAGGCTGCTACTAATGATGAATGGTGCTTTATCTCTCAAGAACCTCTCGTCGCAGCAATTTGAGGAATGAGATCAGCCTTCTTCCAGCGCCTATGAATGGCGTTACGGAGGATTCTTTTTCTGGTCTACTAACTACAACCAACCTTTTACCTTTATTTCAATCATTAAACACGGTAGGACATCGAATGATAGAAATAATAATGAAAAACTATTATTTCAATCACACCGTTATGTCTTATTTTTCTGATGAGATACAAAATAGTTGTCAGTGACATTGTTAGCAAATAGATTTATTGCCAACTGTCGTGATTCTATATAATCAACTATACAAAAATTATAGGATGTGATTTCACAATTTTTTTTTTTTGAAATAAATTGAAATAAATATATACCGTCGTACTAAGATCCTATTACTAATACATGACAATAAAGAGGAGGCCATAAAAGTTATAACTCATAATAGTGAGCAATAACTTAACAAACGGTTTCGACC